TCAGCTCTTCAGCTCAAGGCTAGCGCTCTACCACTTGAGCCACAGTGCCACTTCCAGCTTTTTTCTTTTTGCTTAAGTGGTGCTGAGGAATCGAACCCAGGGCCTCATGCATGCAAGGCAAGCGCTCTACCACTGAGCCACCTTCCCAGCCCTCATTACCTTTTATGAACAAAAGAGAATCCAACTTGTATAGTCTGCTGAGTTTTTTTTTTTTTGGTATGACATTTGCATTCTTAGCAGAGCAGTCCTAAATTGACTTCATCTAACTTGCTATCCATATCAAATCTCCCTTCCCTGAGTACCTTGAAATGTTGGTCACGGTTTCTGTTGGAAAATCTGAAATCGATTTTTTTTTTTTTTTTTGCCGGGGGCTTCTGTTGGAAGATCCATTTAAAACGTGCTAATTTTTTTGGCTACTGTTGGAATATCCTTTTGAAACCTATTACTTTTTTTTGCCTTGGCTACTGTTGTAATATCCTTTTGAAACCTATTACTTTTTTTGCCTTTTCTTTTCCTTTTCATTTAGGAATGTGCACAGATATATAGTATTTCCCAACTCATCATGATATGTTTTATTTTGCATTTAAAATTTTCTTTAGGTCTGCAAAGAAAGCAGAATTGGAAGAAAATCAGAGGAGTTATAAACAAAAAAAGAAAAGGCGACGCATTAAGGTTCAAGAAGACTCATCCAGTGAAAACAAGGTAATAATGTTTGTTATGTGCTTGAAATATAATTGAAGTACAGTACACTATTGCTTCTTTGTGTTCCATTCATATGTTACATTAATTAATTAATTTACTTTTTACATTTTGGATGGACCAGTTTATGGAATGTATAAATATGTAAAATTATTAATTTGAGCTATTATCAGTTTTGTCTGTACCTTAATTTTTATCTTTGCTGTTTATTTTCCTGTGATTATTTCCAGTTCATAGTTCCAAAGTAAATGAAACTAACCAAATTCTTCCAAAGCATTTCTATTAAAGATTTTTTTTTTCATTAATTTTTTTTTTGCCAGTTCTGAGGCTTGAACTCAGGGTCTAGGCACTGGCCCTGAGCTGTTTCTGCTCAAGGCTAGCACTCTACTACTTGAACCACAGTGCCACTTCTGGCCTTTCCTGTTTATGTGGTACTGGGAAATCTAACCTAGGGCTTCATACATGCTAGGCAAGCACTTTACCACTAAGCCACATTCCCAGCCCCTTAATTTTTTTAAAATTATATTTTTATTTAAGTAGCTATACAAAGGAGCTACCATTCAATAAATCAATGTATAAGTACAATGCATCTTAATTGATACCACCCCTTTTAGCATTCTTTCCTGTATGTACTTTAATTTCTAATGGAACTTTCAGACCATTCTAATTTCTTTTTTCACATTTATGGGATAAGGAAATTATGCAATGTACTCTATTTTCCAACAATATAAAACACTTTATCCTGAATGTGTTGCATATAATAAATACATTTCTAGCAATGAAGTTAGCCATTTTGACCTTCCTTCCTTCCTTCCTTCCTTCCTTCCTTCCTT